ATTCAAATTAAGTTTGAGGTGAGGGCTTGGACTGCTGTGAGCTGTGGGTCTGCACTACACCTGAGAATAACTCCACCAAACTAACTACAAAGCTCAGTAAGAGTAAAGTTATATAGTACTTAAAAAACATTTAGAGAGTTGAAGTATGACAGAAGAACTTTAAAATAGAAAAGGTGACCTTTATGGACCAATATATCAGCTGATATACGCCCTGTTGACTCATGTTGGCATAACGGCAAATAAGATAGCATTTACAGATGTCAGTGACCAATATGTTGTTTGAGTTTAGAAAGCCTACAATGGAGAGCTAAAAGTTATCCATTTCCCTGGAAGCAACATAAGAATAACTATCCACAAAATCAACATGATTTCATTTAACTCATTTAACTGTTGGAAGTGACTACAAGTTACGTTATACAAAGTTATTATGACACACAATGAATCACGGCTACAGGATGACCCTGGAATCAATGTAGGCATATGCTGCTTTGACTAGCCACTTATCCCACATACTATTAAGGCCCTTGAAAGTTTACCCAAATTGCACTTTTCACTTTTTCTTTCAGTGAATTGTGGAAAATGAAATTAAACATTTGAGGTACCAATGCCTGCTTCTGCTATTGTGTATCACAGACAATAAACTGCTACTGTGTTGCTATTTAAATTATGATACACATTTCACCATGTTGATGTTCCTGAAACATAGATACTGGGGGAAAAAAAATCTCACATGAATTAAAATCTACCAAATTTCAGCCCAATCTGATGTACTTCGGGGGCCTGTAACTTGGAAAATTCTCATATTTTGAAGGTAAAATTTTGCAGGACTTCATTAAATGTGGTATACTTATTATACCAAACAAATCAGCTGAATCTGAAACAGTCAGGTAAGAATTGTGTTCAGATTTGGTTGACCCATACATTTCCTCACCTGGTGATTTGCTGATATTTCGAGGAAAGTTTGAGTGATACTTTTGTTTTATTCGCAGTACAGTGTTACATTAGTCCTGAATAAAAAGACAGAAAGAAAAAAGAAAGAAAGAAGAGAGTGCCTGAAGTTCATTTGGACAAATAAGCAAAAATGAAAATGAGCCTGCAGGAATAAAGCATAGAAACTGCTATTGTGTACACATGCAAACACATACAAAGACTTGTGTGTTTGTGTGTCAAGAACAGTTGAATGAAATCCTTGTCAGTGCCTTGCATCACTGAGCAGCTTGCTAAGCTGGATCAATGGCAATGTCACAGCGTGCGCACACACAAATACACACCGCCCAGTTCACACACATATCAGCTTTGCTCTGCCCTTCCACACTGTCATGGACACTGTCACACTCCATTCCCCCTCTCATAAAGACACACAGCATAGGGACAGACATGCTTGCTTGTCTTCAGCTCACACTCAGCTGGTGGATCTTCCTCACAGTAGTGTAGCTCTAAGTGGTTTTAATCTGTCGAAGCTCCAGGACCTTGAGAGACCATTTAGTCTCTTTTAAACTATCCTGAAGCCAATACATCAGCTTCTTTGGGTCTGTAAGGGCCAAAGCAGCAAGGGGAGGAGTCAAAGTGTACAAGAAAAAAAACTGCTGCAAAGATTTAAATCTGGACCATAATTTCCCAACTTTTACTAGGAATAAAATATCAGCAGCGCCACACAGAGTTCAATAGTGAGGTTCATGTCCTTCGTATGGGTTTATGGATTATGCGTCATAGTGATGTTACTATCCAAAGTAGATGAGCTACAACACTGTGAAACAATGGTATGTGCTCTTGTAGAAACTAGAAATCTTTAAGATATCAGCTTTAACAAAAACTGTGTTTTGTTTCCAGTGTTGTGGAAAAGATCTACTCTATTCACAATCCGCAATTTATACCGTGACGTCTGTGATTGCTGGTGGTCATTGTTACCATGGAAATATGAATGTTTAATATTCACAAATACTACTATAAAACATTACATGGATTAAACTCAAAAGGTTTGAAGGTCGCTGTGGATTTTGCATATTCTGTGCATGCACTGTGTGATAAGTAGTTCCTGTGGCTCCACAGTGTAGTGGTTTACACACTCCCTTAACAAATAAAATATTCCCTTTAGTGCTCGGGAAAAGGCACAAATCCCACTAAGAGTGTATCAGGAAGGGCATCTGACATAAAAATCTGCTAAAACATATAATTAGAGCCTACTGACCCCTTATACATTCAAATTAAATCTTTTTATGGTCATGATTAATTTCAAAGCTGGTTGGCTTGGTTTGAGGATTAAAACTCTTTGTACAAGGATTTTCTGGAACGTCAATGGACAGAATGAATAGGAATTTCAAATTCCGGAACTGGAGCCCTTAAAAAGTGGGCAGTTATTGTTAAGCTCTATTTAGACAAGAGGCTAGATAGCAAAGTTATCAGCTAATAGTAGCTAGCTTGGTTAGGTCTCAATCACACAGGGCTAAGGACTTGTCACAAAACCCGGGAATCACCGGTCACTAGGGAAACGTGTTTTCCCCAGATGGTTAGGAGGTGGTTGCCAGACGGTGCTTCAACAAATGAAATCAGTGCAAAGATGATGCTGCACCAAAATCATCCTTGTGATTATTTCAGTCGCTAGCAGATTTCAGATAGAAACTTACATGGAAGACACAGACTTGGATGTGGACACTCACCATTTACCCTTCGAGCTGCAGTGCTACTTGAAAAAGTGTGACACGAACCAGAAACATTCATCTACAGAAAAAATGTGGGGCTTTAACACTCCAACCAGCACATTAACAACTGTTGCCTCGAGGCACTTTATATTGAAAACATGCAACAATAATACAAAGAAAACAGAAAACCCCAAAAATCAGTCGCTTTGAACTTTTACTTCAAAGTAAAAGTTGTAAAAGGCACTTTTACTTTGAAGGTGGGAGTTCTTCATTTTCAGTTTGCGTTGTACTTTTCAATTTAATGATCACTTGGTAATTAGTTTGCAAATTTGTGCAGACAGTTAATGTCTTTCATGCAAACTATTAGCGACAGTGACAACATGCAAGCGACCAAAACAATTGCAAGGAAGTATTGCCACTGCATACTTCTTTGCAACCTCCACCAACCACTTGCAAAGTGGTGGGAGTATTCCCAAGAAGCTAGTGATTACAGGAGCTCAATGTCTGGTCTCTAGGGCTGCATCAGTAGGACATTAATAATTGTTTTCCACAGCAACTGCCAGTAACCACTCACAATAAGATCAAAGAATAAACATTTTTCCCTCATGACTCAAGGTTGCCAGATGGTTGCCAACCAGTCTCCAGGCCTCAGCGAGCTTCATCCTTCCAACTGAGTGATAAAATACTAAATACTATCTTAGTGACAACAAAAAGCAGGACCAGAACAAAAAAAAAAAAAAAAAAAAAAAAAAAAAAAAAAAAAAAAAAAAATCAGCCATGATGGAAAAAAAACAATCAAAAAAAACATTTTTTTTTCTGTTTG